TCATGGTCCTGACAAAGTGTTGTTATTTTTCGGGTCAATCAGAAATACAATTTGGCTGCCATGGCCGCTATTTTGCTACTAAGTTCTAATAGGCCGATCTCACTTAAAATTGGTCTAGGAATGATCAGCTCATGGTCCTGACAAAGTTAAGTTAACATTATACTATTTTTTACTCAAATTGGTACATATTTCAACAACAAAAATAAATATTGTAGGACTCAGGTGACCGTTAAGGCCCATGGGCCTCTTGTTCTTGAATAATTTCAATTTTTCAAAACACCTGATTCCACCGTATTACTGCTGAGAATCACGTGACATGATCATGACCGTATACCCCCTGAGATTTTCATATACCCTCTGAGATTTACGAATGCGGTTTGGTACACTGTAGTTTTTAACCAATCAGATTCCTAGATTTTTCTCAAAGGGGTAATAATATATGTACTAGCTGTACCGAGCTCGAGTTCTCCCATTATTATCGTGTTCAGGTTTATTCCAATATATTGCACATGCTATTGCAAAACACAGATATAAGGACACTGAGACAGAGGAGCCTGACTATCTACCATTACTAACCACGTACAAGTATTAGACCTAAACCAGTACAAGGACATCATTATTCTTGTAGGAGGAAATGACCACAGTAGTGGACGCAGTTTGCACAATATTGAAACAGACTATGATCAAATACCTGTCCATGCTGATGCATCAATCTGCACAATATTGAAACAGACTATGATCATCTCCTGTCCATGCTGGTGCGTCAGTCTGCACAATATTGAAACAGACTATGATCATCTCCTGTCCATGCAGATGCATCAGAGCCATGCTGACATACATGTGTCAGGGATACCACCACGAATGGGAGTGGAGGTCGTGCCCCTAAATCACCTACTAGAGAATCTGTGTGAAGTGAACAACATTCAGTTCATCAGGCAACTTAGTACAAGAGGCCCAAGAGGGCCTGTATCGCTCACCTGAATATTTAAGCAGTCATAGCAAAATATTCTCATTTAATATTATATTGCACTAAAAATATTTCCCTCGCAAATTTTGTTGGCTCGGCGCGCGCCATACCGAAAAAAGTTACAAAAAAGTTACTTCTTTTTAGGTACAAAAAAGTTATAACTTTTGATGCTAGATTGGAACCTTGTGAGAAGAGGGTTTCAATCTAGTACTAAAAAGTTACAAAAAGGTATTAAAAAGTTACACTCAAACACTTTGTTCAGTTCAATCAATACTTTATTGGCAAACAAATAGGTACACAAACGTTACATTTAGCCACTAAAGCACTAGTGAAAAAGGTACCATAAAGTTATAACTTTATTTAGTTACTAAAAAAGTACAAAAAAGTTATGCTTTTCTGAGATACTGAAACGGTACAGAAACAGTTCTAGTTAAAAGGTACAATAAAGTTATAACTTTATTTAGTTACTTAAAAGGTACAAAAAAGTTATAACTTTATTTAGGTACTTAAAATGTACAGAAAATGTATACTTTTCTGATACAGAAAAGGTACAAAAACCGTTCTAGTAAAAAGGTACCATAAAGTTATAACTTTATTTAGTTACTAAAAAAGTACAAAAAAGTTAAGCTTTTCTGAGGTACTGAAAAATGGAGAAAACGTATTTGTTAGGTATAACTTTTACTATTATATATCACCTGCTTTCTTGTAGTTATTATCATATAAAAAAATCTTTTGTAGTTACTATAATATAAATAATTTTCTTTACGTTACTATTATATAAATAGATATTTTCTTTTAGTTACTAATATATGAATAAATATTTTCTTTTAGCTACTATTATATAAGTATTTTCTTGAAGTTACTATTTATCATATAGATATTCTCTTGCACTTACTACACTATAAATATTTTCTTGTAGTTACTATTATATAAATACTTTCTGTAGTTACTATTATTTTACAATATAATACACAATAATGTAATAAATATACTCTCATGTTGACTTCCAGGAAGTGCCCTGCATTGACTATGACTCTCTCCAGTTCTGACACTAGCATACTCACTTTTATTCTCTTGTATTCACAACTATTTCACATAACCATTCCTAAAATAATCATTAATAGAATATCTCTTGTAAAGTTACAACAAACAATCATATTAATAGTTCTTAAAATTTGAAATCTCTCATTTGTTCTATGTGGTTGAGTTCCTCCTGGCCAAGCTGACCAAAGCACTGATTTTTGTCCTCATTGAAAACTTGATTTCTGACAGGCCACTTTTCCCATGAATTGCCTCAGCATAATCTGTTGAAAAGCAGATGAATTAGGAAAAATAGCTAGTAACATAATTGCAACTTTATTAAATTTTCTTAGTTCTTTCTTCATCGCTTAAAATTCTCGGAATTAATGAATATGAATGGTGAAATCATCGACAGCATTTTATGGTAAACTTGCTATTTAGTATTCACCGACAGGCACCATTAATCAGTTCAAGCAGCTATAGCGATACTTTTGTAATTTCAGTGACATTACTTCTACATAAAGAGAATTGCTGTAGAACTCTTTTCTTTTGTGTTGTTATGAAAAAGTTTTAATTCATAATTACCAATTATTGCTCCAACAATGCTCTGGTTCAAACCTTTCCCAGGTTGACCAGCTCAGTGTTGGTGAAGAACACTGACATCAAATATCTGGCGACCTGTTCCCCTTCGTCTTCCTCTGTGCGGTTTTTATGTGTTTGGGATACACATAAACCCCAGCCCCAGGTATAAGCTCCATCTGTCAAGATAAGGAGCAATAACACAATTTACAAAATAATATAATTTTGCAATTAAAATGAGTCTCCTAAACAAGAAGGAAGTAAACAAGAATTTTAAGCAACATGTTTACCTCTAATTTCTTACCTTGACACAACACAATAGCATTGTAACAGTTGATCGGATTGCTAATATATTTACGATATGGTGTAAAGAGATTCAAAAAGAAAAGCTTTTCAGTTCATTGTGTGTTTATGGTATATAATATCTATATAAATGTAATAATCTATCGGTGATTGCTTTTGAATATTCTAACTAATTCGCCCTTGTGTAGAAATGTAAATACCAGTGCACTACTCATTTGTTGGCTTTGATCTGTTTTATTTCACCTTAAATACCTCCCCAACAAGAGCCGGGGTCAAAGTCAAGAGATCCACTTTGTCTCTGACCTTTGGACCAAAATGACCTTGACCTTTAACCCAGTGACCATGATCTTTGGTCAGTTGACTTATTCTTTAATTCCAACCAACTTTGCTTTATAATACCATAACAAAATGTTCATCAATAAAAAGTTTCATAAAGTAATGTTCACCAGTGAAAAGATACTAAATTTGACCTTTACCTTTGACCTTGAATTAAGTCATAATGTCATAAAATGCTTATTTAGACAAGAGGCCCAAGGGCCTTAGCCGTCACCTGAGTTATATCATAGGTACTGGTAGCTTTATTTTATTGTTTAGATGTGATGTGGAAATCAGCATGTAAACTAAGTGAAATACAATACTTGTCATGTCATCAATGGATAAGAATTTGAAAATATTGGTAAATGTTCCCTTTGGGGCCCCGCCCTAGCCCCTGGGGATGGGGCAGGAATCCTAATTTTACAAAGTAAAACTCTCATTTACCCAAGATGATTCTGACTAAGTTTGAGTAATTTTCTGCTGAAAATGGAAAAAATATATACCGAAAAGTGTTATTTCCCTATATAAACTATATGAAACGTCAACCCCTCCCCAAGGGAGAACGGATAGCTCGGGGTCCTGATATTTTCAATTTAAATAAAGCCCCTGATGATCTTTCTTTCCAC